AAAATAATTATAGAAGATAATAAAATATAAGAAATATATTATAAAAAATTAATTATAAAAAATTATAAAAAATTATTTTATTACAACCATCAGTCAGACTTATGAGGTCATACTTAAAAGATTCCATGTCTCTCTTACGTTTTTTTACCTGGCATCCAGATTTTATTCTAGTCACTTGTGATGTCCAGTCTTTGTACACCATAATCCCCCACGAATTAGGGTGTGAAGCAGTTCTAAATAGATTAAAAACGGATAATAAAATTCCAGAAAAACAAATTAATTTTATCTTAGAAGGGATAAAAATTATTTTAACAAATAACTATTTTTGGTTTTTAGACACTTTTTACATTCAAAGACAAGGCACAGTTATGGGTACTAGGTTTGCACCAAGTTATGCCAATCTTTTTATGGACAATTGGGAGTCTAAAGCAATCTGGGGAGATCACCCCTGGAAAGCAAACCTAGTATCCTATTTTAGATACATAGACGACTTGTTTTTTATCTGGAAAGGTCCTGAAACCTCACTTAAACTTTTTTTAAATCATCTAAACAACAACAATAGTGGCATCATTTTAACATCAGAACACAGCAAAGATTTAATAAATTTTTTAGACATCCAAATTTTTATCCAGGATGGGAATATTAACACTAGAACTTTTTTTAAAAAAGTGTGCACCAACACAGTCATTGACAGATCAAGCTGCCACTACCAACCATGGTTAGATGGGGTCCCTAAAGGTCAGTTCCTACGTCTTCGCAGGAACTGTTCCCTTAATACAGATTTCGACGAACAAGCTAGAACACTAGAAGCTCAATTTATCGGTAAAAATTACCCAAAAGAAAAGCTAGAAGAATCCCTCAAAGCAGTGAAACAAAAAGAAAGACTCGAGCTTTTAGAATATAATACGAATAAAAATAAAGACCCACCATCCATGCCGATAATCTTTAACTTTGACAATAAGAATAAAATTGTGAAAAAAACTATTCAAAAACACTGGCACATTTTAAAACAAGACGAAATTTTAAACACACTCATCCCAGATAAACCCCATATCATTTTTAGAGGGGCCCCAAACCTAAAGACAATGCTTACTAAAAATTATACAAAAAAAGCCAATACAAGCAATCCATCATTTTTATCAAATTCTAAAGGTTTTTTCAAATGCAACAGATGCATTGTCTGCAGATCCACTGACCAAAACAGCACATCAAAGACAACACAATTCACCTCAAACAAAACCGGTATTGCATACCCTATCAAAGATTTAATATGTTGCACTACTAAGAATGTTGTATACCTATTGGAGTGCCCATGTGGCCTCCAGTATGTGGGTATGACCACACGATGCTTAAAAATAAGGTTAGCAGAACATTGTAGACATATTATCAAAGGCTACCCTAATCACTCTGTTTCAAAGCATTTTATTCAACACAACAAAGACCCTAAATTTTTAAAATGTACTGGGATCCAAAGATGTAAATTACCCTGGAGGGGAGGTGATCTCAAAAAATTACTGGGACAAAAAGAAATGCACTGGGTGTTCCTTTTAAAAACCCTTACCCCCGAAGGTCTTAATGTAGAGTTCGACCTGTTTAATTTTTTTATAATTTTTTATAACTAATTTTTTATAATATATTTCTTATATTTTATTATCTTCTATAATTATTTTGTGCATGAAGTACATATTTATATAATGTGACTTATATACGTGACTGTTCTATTTAAATAATATGCAAGGTATTGTGAGTATAAAACCTTGTTTTTAATTTAAATTTTAGACTATCACATGTCTCCAATATAGGTTTGTATTCACTGATACATATAAAGTTTAGCACTTTTGAAAAAAAAAAAATTATGACATCATTTTGGCGCCATTTTCTAATATTTTCACTGCCTATATAAACCTGTATGTAACAGGATGTACTTTCTGATCTCCACTTGATAAAGCCTAAGGGCGAAACGCGTTGTGGTTTTTTAAACTATATTGTTTTAAATAAAGGTATTTTGGCCACTTTCTTACTGTGAGTTAGCCATCTTACTTTTTATTACTATTATTATTTTACTTTTTTATTACTACCATCCTTTTATCCGGCACAGAAGTGTTTTTACTTTCCAGTGAGGATATTACTCCCAAGAATCCTAGGTGGGGATTATACCACTCAAGCTATATTCATTGAACAGTTAGTCTGTTCAACTAAATGTGAGTAACCACTTGGTTTTTTATCTTCTCACCTCTGGCATTTTATACTTTGAGCACCATTGTTGTTCCCGCTTTTATTTCCACATATGGTTCCCTAATCAAGAAAGAATACTAAGACCTCACGTATCCCATAAGTGGGGATTATACCACTGTACGTTATCAACACTAGAGCTAAGTCCATAGCTCTTGAAAACATATACTCTTTTATTGCTTCTACCCCTTTCAGGACATACTATACCATCAGTTGTTATTTTCTCATTTCATATGATGTACAAAGACGCATCTACACCACTCTGAAGAATCCCCCACTACAAAAGACTGTATTCACCTCTACAAAGATATACCTCGTTGTTTGATTCATCTACCAGTCAGACTATTTATTCTGGACTTCTATTTGCTTATTATCTATCATATATATTGCATTCTAGTCTGCCTATTCTGTGCTCTTTTAATTTATGTGGTTTATAGTGGCGCTGCCTTCCTTTCTTTTTTCTGTACCATTTCTGTTGTAAGGCCTGTAAGGGAGCCCTACTTTTTAGGTGTGCTGCCACTTTTTACTTATTTATTATTGTTTCTGTTGTATTTTGTATAGATAGAGAGCGCTGATCCCTTTCTTCTGTTCGGGATTATTGTATGCTGTATTTATTTCCTTGGATTAGTTTATGCTGTTCCTGTTACCCAGCGGAGATACTGTGGATTATACTACCTCTCCGCTACAACCGGGTTTGCAGCAATATAAAAAAAACTCTTGGTTACGAGATTGCTGGCCGGAGGAGACTCTCGGTTTACCCTCCTTTCGCGAAACATTGGCCTTATTCGAAATTTACCCGATAGTGGCGGCTGCCTTTACATGGGAAAAAACCTGGTCAGGTATGGCCGTTAAGTGTTACATGGATAACATGGCAGCCTACGACATAATCAATAAGGGCCGTTCATCTTCATTGGTCATTATGAAGTTAGTTCACAGACTGACATGGTTAGCAGCCACCTTTCAATTCTTTCTATATTGCGAACACATCCCAGGCTACTTTAACTCCGCTGCTGACGCTTTGTCCCGTTGTAAATTACAGGAATTCTCCAGCCTCCACCCAACTGCCGACAAATACCCAACCCAAACCCTGGATTTCGACAAGTTAATCCTGGATTAGCCCACGTTTTGTCACACAGTTACGAATTGGCTCAGGTAGCCTTATCCGCGAATACCAAGAGAACATACGACAGAGCCATGACTGTCTTCCAAAGGTTCTCAGTAGAATTCGACTTACATGACTATTCAGTTTAAACCATAGTCGCATTTGCTGCTTTTTGCCACATTCAACTCAAACTTTCATACAATACGATAAAACTTTACCTGTCTGGCATACAGCACCACGTCTTGACCGCCATTCCAAACCATGCTCCTTTCCTCAGTACTTACCCGATAAAAAATATATTAAAAGGCATAAATAAACTTGATCATCACACGACAAACAAACGTCTACCCATAGATGGGGAGAAATTCCGGGCATTATCTGACATACTGGACACGCTACCGTTTGAACCTTGCACAAACCTAGTTATAAAAACCTCTATGTATATAGCATTTTATGGGTTCCTAAGGCCTAGAGAATTCACGATTGCAACACAATCAGATAATCAATTATGTCTCATCAAAGAGGATTTAAAAAAGGTAAATGACTATTACACCCTGTCACTCCGACATTCAAAGACCAGAAAACAGGCCATCCGGTTGAAATACCCTTCTACCTGACTGGAAATAACTGGTGCCCGGTTAAAGTCCTAAACACTTACTTAGCACAGATCAAAGATAATCCCAGCCGCTCTCCGCTTTTTACACTGCTAGACAATCCCCTAACTACTACCAAGTTCATGTTTTACATTCGTACACTGTGCATTAAATTAGGCTGGTACCCCGCATCTCATTCAGGAGATTCATTCAGGATAGGGGCCGCATCTGCCACGTCCAGTACTAATACGCCAGTACACATAATTAAGAAATTAGGGCGTTGGGAATCTGCCATATACCACACCCAGAGAAAGAGTTAAGACAAGCATTTAAGAACCTTGTATCATAATTATGTTAAGAATAAAGTGTGTTTATCTGCAATCTTTTTTGCCCTCTTTTTTTACAGGCCTATCTCCTACGTCAGTTCCGGCACACCTCACCGACTTTAACCAATCATATGGTATTTCACAGTCACTAATTAACCAACCACAAGTGTAAGGCCGTAGGCCTATATTTGTGGGAGGAGTTAGTGTTCCTATAAAACGCTACTCCTCCCTCCTTACCTATGCCATGACGTATGCTGTTCACCCCACCCACCACACCCTCTCATATTCACACAATACCATCGGGGAGGGGCGCCTCTTTTTTACAGGTCTACCCCCTACGTCAGTTCCGGCACACCTCACCGACTTTAACCAATCATATGGTATTTCACAGTCACTAATTAACCGACCACAAATATATATATATATATATATATACATATAAACCTTGAAAAGATCTACACTCTACGGTCTTTTATAAACAAAGTACTATTTTAATCCAAATGTCACTTTACATTCAGCTTGATGTACAGATGATACTCAAAAATTAGAATATCGTGCAAAAGTCAATTTTATTTACCAGTAATGCAACGTAAAAGGGGAAACTAATATATGAGATAGACACATTAAATGCAAAGCAAGATAGTTCAAGCCGTGATTTGTCATAAGTGCAATGATTATGGCTTACAGCTCATGAGTATCGAGCATCGAGTATCACCTGTACATATAATACGTGTGTATATAATACGTATATGTGTGTGTGTGTGTGTGTGTGTGTGTGTGTGTGTGTGTGTATGTATATATATATATATATACACACACACACACACACACATATATATTTATACACACACACGCTTTTATTTCCTATATATGTATTGTATAATATATTATAATTAAAGTATTTTATAATATATTATACATATATAATGTGCATATATGATTCCATTATAAGTGTATTTTGAGATATATGTGTATATTGGTGATGTTCCGAACGGTTCGCCACGAACGGTTCGCCGCGGACTCCAGTCAGCAGACACATTCCAGCCAATCAGCAGCAGACCCTCCCTCCCAGACCCTCCCACCTCCTGGACAGCATCCATTTTGAAGCTGCATTCTTAGTGAGCTGTCCAGGAGGTGGGAGGGTCTGGGAGGGATCTCAAAGTACACTTATAAGTGCATTATATATGTATCATATATTATAAAATGCTTTTTGTTATAACTTTGTAGCAGCCTGGGGGAATGCCTGACAGCTCAGACAGTCCCCCTGTTGGCAGCTCCATAGACTCCTATTGCGGTAAAGTGATCAGGGTGATCACATGGCCCTGGAGGACCGGGGTGGCCAGAGCTGCTGCAGGGGGACTGTGTATCTGTGTATTTGTATGTGTATCAGTGTATCTGAGCACCAAAATTATATATAAATACACATTCAAATGCACGCTTGCATCCAAATTCCAACACCACATCCAAGCACATTCAGACAAACATACTTCATACAAAAACATGCTTACATTCAACATGCCTAGAAGACAATCTCTTGGCTTCACTAAGGTAGCAAAGGTTTTTATGATCGGTAAGTATGAGGATGGGATCCTTAGTGCCCTCCAAAAGATGTCTCCATTCCTTAAGTGCTACAACAATGGCAAGGAGTTCCCGATTGCCTCTGTCATAATTCTTTTCGGCCTTGGACATCTGCTTGGAAAAGAAACCACAAGGATGTAAAGGCTTCTCTGGAGATTCACTTTGAGACAATATAGCACCCACCCCAATATCTGAAGCATCAACTTCAAGAATAAAAGGCAAAGAAGGGACAGGATGCTGTAAAATAGGAGCAGAGGGGCGGGGCCTGACCGCTGAACTGTGAGGAAGCATGTCTCACCAGCTCCTGCATCTCAGGGCAACCAAAGCGGATTTAAGACCCCAAAAAGGCACAAATTGATTCCTCATGGCCACCAAGCGACAATGGGGCGCACAAACAGACACCACACAAGCGACGATGCCCCTCAGGCGCACCCAGACTCAAGTCGGGGCCTACCAGCATGGCGGGCATGGGGAAGACGGCTGCTTTCCTGCTGCCTGTACCAGTCAGGTACCGGCCTCCGAGCCCTTGTTCCCCCCCCCTGGACCGGCAGGGGTCATCCCGGTCCACCCCCTCACGATCCCCTTGAAAGGAGATGAGCGGACGAAACAACCGCGCGGTGTGGAAACTGCAGACAAGGCCAACAAAATGGCGGACGGCAGCCACGCCTCGGCCCTTCACGAGGCCAGACGAGACACGGAGCTCCAGCTTACCCGCGTATTCGACTCCTTCTGGGAGCAGCTGGAGAAACTCGCGTGGCCCTCGGAGCAGGGGACCCAGCCGGATGGCGAGACACAAGAACCAGCACGAGGGACCCGGATGGGAGTACCGGCATACACCGCCGGCTCACTACCCGGACCCCACAGGCCCCCGAGAAAGACCACCCTACTAGCAGAGACCCGAAGCCTCACTAAGGGCAAACACAGCCGGACCCAGGTAAAACATACTGGGGGCGCTGCAGTGCGAAGGCAGCGCGGAAAACAAACTCGCCGTCCGGCCGTGAAACAGCCTGGGAGAGGTGCGGACCACCCCATTCGCATCAAACGGCGGACCACAGGGCTCACCATGGGGGCCGCGATAGCACGACGCCACAAGCACAGACTCAGCCTACAGACACACAGTCGGGCAGGGCCCTCTATCAGAGCCACATCACAACTACCACAGCAGATGCCGGCCTACACTCAGACACTCCACCCACGCATCACCCGACTGGGAGATCTGCGGCTCACATCACGACAGCAGCAGACGGCACAAGGGGAGCCTCAACAAGGCATCGGATGAACTACACAGCACTGGGACTCATTGCCTAGCAAAGGACTCATTACTTCTTTTATTTTTATTTATTTTTTCACTAATTTTTCATAACTCAGATGAACTCCCACACCTGTCCGTACGCAACCGATCCCTGCACATCCCTTCCAACAGCTCACATAGGAGACCATAGAGAGGGAATTCCTCGAGATCAAGCGACTACATATTAAGCATGAATGAATGTGCATAGACTAACTCAAACCCACGCAGGTTTCCTTGACTACTCAACACACAACTGTTTGCATTAGCATGTGGAATGTGTAATGATGCCACCTTATGCTGTAGGCAAGCTCTAGCACTGTTAAGTGTTAGGTGTTTTCTTTCTTTCCTTTAAAATTTTTATTTCATGCAACACAGCATGTATGGGAGTGGCGCAACCTGTGTATACAACACATATGGTCCAGATATCGTTAAAATGCAAAACACATCACGACACTACAACTACACTAGCAAAGATGAACGAGCTATGTTAAACGTGGACCACCCTATCTTATGCTAACGTTCTCGCTGTTTGGCCTAAAGTTGTTTTACTTATATGTGAACTAGATCCGTAACTATCAGTGACCAAATACTTATGTGACTATAGCCTGCAAACTCCTAATTATATGCTGTGTTGCTTTAATCTCGCTCACGTAAGTTTAGCATAATTATTTTCTGTTTGACTAGCTTATGACATAGCGTAAAACCCTACTATCTAGAAAGATACAAGCGATGTTGTCCCGTGTTATGTCTTGTTTTGAAATGCTTAAGCAACGTAAATATATACTGTTCATAACATTACTAACTTAAAAAATGTGCTAGACCCAACGTCCACCCCAATGTTTAAACTGTTTATCATGCTCTGGAGGATTGCCTTTGGGGTACCTCGCAAGCGACTGTTATAATCACATGCACAACTAAAATAAAGAATAAAAAAAAAAAAAAAAAATAGGAGCAGAAGCGAATTCAATCTTAAGAAATTCAAAAGACTCAAGCGCTTCCGGGGTCCAGACATGAGTATTACCATCCTTTTTAGTCATTCGGGTTATAGGCGCTACAATGGAAGAAAAACCTTTAATAAAGCGCCTATAATAGTTCGAAAAACCAAGAAAACGCTGAATGGCTTTCAAACCCTGAGGTAGAGGCCATTCCATGACAGCAGAAAGTTTCTTGGGATTGTGATCCTTGTCGGCAGGTAGCACGGTCCTCTAGGGCAAAAACATGCACAGTCCTTGTAATTGCATATACTCCAGGCACTTTATTTTTAAATCCACACAGGATACAGCAGTAAATGAAAAACATAAATGTAACACAAAACCTTATAAACAAAAACCTAGCTCGTCTGAGCACTAACTGACATTAGGTTCCCTATCTCTCAGGGTTAAACTAAACAAAACAATGTGGTTTCACCAACCTAGAGTCTTTGTCCACTCTCAGCACTCCAGTATTTAGCCAGCCTGCTGCTTCCAGCCTTTCAGAGAGAAACAAAACATTCTCTTCCTACCTGCCTAGCAGGGAGGGATTTATTCCCACTGCTGCAGCCGATTACCTGCAGCTGAGCAGTAGGTTGGAGACAGTCCAAAACCCTGGGCTGGATCTATGTCTTCCAAGAAAACCGCTAAACTGCGGAGTGGAGCACTGGCCCACCCTGCTCTCCAAATGCTCCACCCCAGGGGCCCATAACTAAATATTAATTCTGGTTACATACACAGAAACATAAACTCCCCCTGGGGTTAAAAATCATATGCCTCTCTGAACAATTCTGTCGAGATATAGACTCCCTCACAGACCACCCCATTCACCTTATCACATATCCCCCTCCCCAGCTCAGACCCATCGGGGCGAGCGGCCTGGGACCATAAACAGTGAACTCGGGAGAGGCCATCCGCATTACCTTGGGCAGTTCCGGCCCTGTGAGCAATAGTAAACTGGTAAGGCTGAAGACTTAGGAACCATCTAGTCACCCTGGCATTCTTTTCTTTGTTATGCCTCATCCATGTTAAAGGAGCATGGTCCGTGATCAGTGTAAAACATCTCCCCAGTAAGTAATATCTCAGGGATTCTAAAGCCCATTTTATCGCCAGGCATTCCTTTTCCACTACGGAGTACCTCTGTTCACGGGGATTCATTTTCCGGCTCAGATACATGACAGGATGTTCCTCTCCTTCATGTACCTGGGACAGAACCGCGCCAAGGCCCACATCAGACGCATCGGTCTGTACCACAAATGGTTTAGTGAAATCCGGAGCCACCAAAACAGGGGCAGCACACAAGGCTCCCTTCAAGACTTGAAAGGCATGCTCCGCTTCCGGGGTCCACTTAACCATTTATCTGGCCTTTTGCCTTAGTAAGTTCAGTCAATGGGTTGGCAATGGTAGCGTACCCAGGGATGAACCTACGATAGTAGCCGGTTAAGCCTAAAAAAGCCCTGACTTGCTTTTTAGTTACAGGACGTGGCCAACTGGTGATGGCTGCTACTTTTCTCTCTTGTGGTTTAAGGAGCCCCCGCCCGATAGTGTACCCCAGATATTTTGCTTCTTCTAGCCCTAAAGAACACTTAGCAGGGTTAGCTGTCAAACCGGCAGCCCTTATACTATCCACAACTACCTGAACCTTCATCAAGTGGGTTTCCCAGTCCGCACTGTGAATCACCACATCATCCAGGTAGGCGGCTGCATACTGTCTGTGGGGGTGAAGTATCTTATCCATCATACGCTGAAACGTTGCTGGGGCACCATGCAACCCAAATGGCAGCACTTTATATTGGAACAACCCATCAGGGGTAGAAAACGTGGTTTTCTCTTTTGCTTTCTCTGTCAGGGGTACCTGCCAGTATCCCTTGGTGAGGTCCAAGGTGCTCAGATATCTGGCCTTACCTAATCGCTCTATTAGCTCATCCACACGAGGCATCGGGTAGGCATCAAACTTAGAGATATCATTTAGCTTACGGAAATCATTACAGAAACGGATTTCCCCATTTG